GGGTTAGGGAGGGGGGGTTCCATATTCCAATCCTACCTTAAATTTACCTGCTGCTATCCATAATTTTGAGTAATGAAAAGTTCACATGAAATAAAAGCTTTCTTTGATTATACAACAACAACAATCTAGTGAGTTCCCACAAATGGGATCTGGGGAGAGTAATGTGTACGCAGACCTTACCCCTACCCTGGAGGGCATAAAAGCTGGTTCCGATAGACCTTCAGCTAAAGACAAGGTGAAAAGAATCAGTGGCAACAGGTGGTAACAACAAGGTATTAAGAAAACTAAAACGAAAGAATACAATCAAACACTAAATAGTACCATCAATCGAAGAATAAAGAGATACCATGCTAATACCACTGCTACCGATCTGAGAAAGAAAACAGACACGCGCGGGTGCCTACCATATTCTGCCTAATCACCTCTCCCCAATACTTTTTTGGCCTAACTCTACCCCTCATACCCACCAAGGTCAACCTCTCACAGCTCCTAACTGGGGCATCTGTGCTTCTCCTGTTAACATGCCCAAACCATCTCAGCCGCGCCTTCAGCATCTTATCCTCCACGGGGGCTACTCCTACCTTTTCTCAAATAATTTCATTCCTAATCTTATCTAACCTGGTATGCCTGCATATCCATCTCAACATCGTCATTTCAGCTACTTTCATTTTCTGAACATGAGAGTTCTTGACTGGCCAACACTTCGCCCCATACAATAATGTCCGTCTACCCACCACTTTGTAGAATATACCTTTCAGTTTTAGTAGCACATTCTTATCACACAAGACTCCGGAAGCAAGCCTCCATTTCATCCACCCTGCTCCTATACGATATGCGACATCTTCATCAATCTCCCCATTTCCCTTTATTATAAACCCAAGGTACTTGAAATTATCTCTCTTGGGGATGACTTGAGCCTCCAGTCTCACATCCATGTCCGCTACCTAGGTTACATTGCTGAACTTACACTCCAAGTATTATGTCTTGGTCGTGCTCAACTTGAAACCTTTAAACTCAAGGGTCTAACGCCAAACCTCCAGCCTCTCATTTACACTACCTCGTGTCTCGTCAATCAAAACTATGTTATCTGCAAATAACATACACCATGGCACCTCCACGTGAATGTGACACGTCAATGCGGTGAGGTGAGGTGATATCGTTGAGTATCCCCTGAGGGCTAGTGAATACCTTTTTTCATTTTCTTATGCGGTATTCCTTTTGTTTTACCTATATTAATTTCGACATTCTTAGATTTTTTGCAGAAATACAGGGTAAGGGTGCGTACGATAGACCCTTGTGGTCCGGCCCTTCCCCGGACCTCCGCATAGCGGGAGCTTAGTGCACCGGGATGCCTTTTTTTTTTAATAGATTTTTTCATGAAACTACAGTAGATAATATCTCTTCATGATTTTTTCATATTTTAAATTATCTAATACTTAATTAAAATGTATACTAAACTCCGATCTTTTTTCCATCAAATTAACCTCTTACAAAAACCTTCAACCATCAAATTTTATTTATCCCTAATGAAGCCATTTCGAAAACCCCTTGGGACTTGGGTCTAATGGTAAGAACGCAACACGTAATCTGTTTGTGAGACGCATGTCACTATTTCAAACTCGGCCGCATAAAAAACCTAGTATTGAAGTGGAGAAAGGTAGAGGAGTTGGCCCATTACACACCGAGTTTCGAACCATGAGCTACTAGTCTAGGGATTTCTTGGTCATCAAAAAAAGAAAAAGGAAAACAACCGCTTCAAAAAAATGAAAAGGTTTGGAGTCCAAGCATCAATTCATCTAAGTTTCAATCTTAACTTGTGCAACAAGTTTTAAAAAAATTTCAAAATAAAATTACATATTTAAAAACATTATAAAAGAGTAGTAAGTCACAATTTTATGTTATTAAAATATTAATTATAAAATTGCAATCAATGAACATAGTTTGGTTTCCCAAATAGTGATGATGTTGTAAAATGAAATAGAGGGGTGTATTAAATATCCTTACCTAAAATCAATTTTAATGGGTGAATTTTGCTCACAAGCTCATTTTACACTTGGATGGTTTAAATGGAATTACTATATGCTTTTCTAGTACTCTCAAGATTTATTGATATCGTTTTAGATTATCATCATAAAAAAGGATTATCATCATAAAAAAAGATTAACTTGAGAAGAGATTATACCCAGGAGGCATTTAAATAACTCAAAAAGGATCAAAGTGGAATTATGCATTTATCATCATCCTACCATTTTTGATTGAGTATTTTCCAAGCAATACTTGAACATAAGAATTATCTTGAGAAACAAGCAGTTATCAACTCACTGAGGAACTAATGATGACTGCATAAATATTTGAAGTAAGAAGATATGAGAAATTGCAAATGCTAATCCAGAGTACCATTAGCATTCGAAAAGTAACTAAAGAAGGCTCAATACAACATAGCAACACAAGCTTGTGAAAATGATGGTGATCATGGTGGCAGTGGTAGTGAAGGGGGAGGAGGTGCTGATGGAATAAGAAGTGGAGGAGAGTCGGTAAAATGAGTTGGGGCGGTGAGGCGGCATACCATGTGGTGTCCACCTCACAAAAAAATGTCAGTGTCATTGTGGGATTGAGTGTTTATCTGGGATTGAGGAGGGGTATATTTAAACCACTTGGGTAATGTCGGGAGTATTTTTGGACCAAAAGTATAATGGAGGGCAAAATTGTTCCTTTTCACATAGTAGAGGGGAAAATTTAACCCTTTTCCCTTAAAAAAATGCTTGTAGAGTAATTCACAAAATGACATTTTTTCTTTTAGAATTTTTAAATTGTTATATCTGCTGCTGCTGTTTTAGTAGTTTATATTAAGCATGAGTTCTTTCTGCATGTGGGTTCTTTGCTTCAAGAAGCTTTGCTTTTCAGGTAATACAAGCCATGCCCAAATGTGGGTTGCTGCTGTTTTAATAGTTTATATCTAAGCATGAATTCTTTCTGCATGTCGGTCCTTTGTTTTAAGAAGCTTTGCTTTTCCAGGTACCCAAGCCATGCTCGAATATGGGTTGCACCTATCCACTCTGGATTAGTGGATCAAAAGAAGATTGATTATGATAGAGCCATGGATGATTGGTACCATTTTGTCAATGAGACTCAAACTTTTTATGGTGTGGATATGAGCAGTCTGTCTAAGCCTTTTACAGAGGAACAGAGAAAATACTATCTAGAGGTTGGTGTTATTTCCTTTTCGAAAAATAGAAACTGTTAGGTCGATTATACCATATACCAATTATGGTTTATATATTATCTTTCTTGTGGTGTTTGCTTTACTTCTGAAATAAAACTAAACTCAGCTTGTTTTTCCTTTCATTGGAAAAACATCCAGTTCAATATATAAGCTACTGTTATGCCAGCCTACTTGTTTTATTGTGTTTATCAGTTTAGGCATGCATATGTTTTCCACATTCTTGAGGTTTGTTTGACTGCTTTTACAGGTGTAGCTGTGCAGTAGTAACTAGAAACCTTAAAAGAGAAGAACAATTGGTACATTAGTTTCTGTTGATTATCTTTTCCATACTCAACTTTCCTTTGTTTGTTTTGGATAACCGTGGTGTTCGGGTCAGCTTGGGCGCACCTCGACTAATTCCACGGGATACCTGCCACCTCCCCTACAGCAACTAGTACCAGGTAACTAGATCCACCAAGGCTTGGATAGATGAGAAGAAATAACCTAGTGTATTTTGTTTCCGCTGGGGTTTGAACCTGAGACCTCATGGTTCTCCACCCACTTCAATGACCACTAGGCTACACCTTTTTTAATGTAGCTTCTTAGTGAAATTCAAATACACACCTTTGTTACGTTGTGGGAAAGTGTATTGGATGAGTATATTCAAACATGGGAATTCATTAGGGACCTTGAACAGATTGAGGCGAATGGAGATGACTCGAGATACAGCTTCTTCTATGTGAATGCCAAGCTAAAAATGGTGGTTTATCTTTACGGATTGGTCACTGACATGGAAGAAGTCAACATTTTTTGTCAAAAATTTGATTGGCTTCAATAGCCTTCTTGCTAGTTTTTAATGTATCATGAGAAGTTATTACATCATTTCACCTCTCCGTCTTTTTCTATTGATGGATTTCTCGTTTTTTGGCTCCTTGAACTTCTCAAAGACCATACTAATGTTTTGTGTAGACGTCATTGTGGAACAACCTTCATCCAAATCAAGTAATTGGAAAACCTGCTGTCATAATGGAGATTGATTGTTTAACATCAAGTGTGAATGACATACTCAGTCTTCAGGCAAACATCTCATCATCCATTACTGCAGAAAACTCACGATTCTGTGGGTTTGGAGGATGGTTTGATGTCCATTTTCGAGTAAGTTGTCCTTACTGTGTCTTTTCTGTGTTATAGTGAGTACAAATTAGTATTATTTTAATCTCACTTTGGTTTGTTACCTCAGGGACGTAAGGAAAGTCCAGCTAAACATGAGATTGAGTTGACGACAGCTCCTAGTGAAGACTTCGGAACACACTGGGGGCAGCAGGTATGTGTATTCTACTGTATGATCTCTCTCTGCAATTTGAATGGTTTAGTTTAATGGATATTCAGTAGCATATGATCTTAAACCAATAAGGAAACAATAGTCTTTTCCTCCATTGAAACATTACTAGGCTACTTCACTTGTATAATGTTGCTGTATGTAATGAATAAGGAAATGCTGTTTTCTCATGTTTGATGATTATGATCGCTCTTCAATGCATATAAATAATGACTGGTACAGTGATTCCCATCCATATTCTTGCTTTTCTATGTGATGAAGTTGGCAGCCATTGCTTCATCTTTTGTCTGAAGTTAAATTGTCTATCCCATTTGTAACTTAAGAATGATGAAGTTCAGCAATTTATTAATATGCATCTCAAATTTTTCATCGGATGTGTCGGACACTAGTTACATACATACATGACTATGCCTCACACCCAGCAATTAGTTTGGGTTGGATATATGAATACTGTGTATCCATTCCTCTCTGTAAGTTAATCTACCTAAATATTTGTATTAACTTGGCCGAGTTCTCGGAGCTTGTCTAAAGCCATAGTTTACTTTATTGCTTCCAAAATTCTCTCTAAATGTTTTCCTGGTTTTCATGTGCCTGATCTTTGTATTGACAGGTGTTCTTGTTACATCCATCCATACGTGTTAGCCAAGGGGATGAAATGACAATTAATTTCTCAATGTATCGCTCTAAAGAAAACCATCGGTTGTTGGAAGTTGAGTTTGGCTGTGAGCTTAGACAATCTTCTGGGAAGTCACTTCCATCATTCAGCAAAAAGTTTCACATAGAATGAGGAACACGGCATACTTTTTCAGAGGTACAGTATATATATTACACTCTTGAACATTCAGTGTTAAAACCGCCTCGGTGTTATGATTGAACTGGCACCTTTCATCTGATATTGTAGATTGTCCTCTCTTTACTGCAATTTTTGCCAACTTCTTCAATGCTTGGCAATTTCTCCTTCTGGGCTTATACGTAGCGTTTGTCTCTATATGCTGCTTTTTTAAAAACATCTGTCTTTACAGCTTTGTACTCTCCTCCTGATTTATATTTCACTTTTATCTTGTTTCCTACTTTCGCACTACGTATCCTACTTTTATCACCATTTGGAGTAACTAGATTTCAATGTGCAGTGTCATGTCTAAAGGCCAATGGGAGGAACGCAAGTGGCATCCAAGAGTCCCTGAGAAAGAAATTCAGCCATTTCTGCAGCTAACTTATGCTGTTGTACTCTGATATAGAGCATGAAAATGAGAGTATTTGGCAAGTTCCAAGATTTTAGAGCTTCCTTTACCTTTGTTGATTTCTCAACTTGTCTTGCCCTAAACTCTTGTACCCTCCTCCAACAAATTTGCCTCTTAAATTCTTTTGCATCGTTGTTCATTTTTGGTTCGGGCCTGGAGACAAGGAGGTTTTCCTGGGAGTTTAGGGGTTTTCGAGCGCTTTGTTAAGTATGCAGAAATCACTCGTCCCCCACAGTTTGTGCGGGAAATATTGTATCTAAAGCCGGAATTACTGCTATGTATTCTCATCAATGTACTCTTGTGAAGGTGTTAGTGCTATCTTTTCTAGCCACTTCAATTTAGAATATCAATCTTATGAAGTCAAAGACTGGAGATGAGATAAATGTCCATTTCCATTTGCTATCTTAACCGTTTCAGCTCTAGTAGTTTGGTTTGGGCGAAAGAATCCTATGGATCTCTTTAGTTACATTTAAGTCGATTATCTTGACCATTCACCATTTCCCTCTCAAGGGGCAGCACATAAGCAAATAAGTAACAGATTTAGCTCTATCCAAAATAATGACCTGTTTTGGCCTAAATGGCCTTTTAAATTTCAGTTGTATCATTCTTGTTACGAAGTAGCTAAACCCCCTCCTTTGCTTCTCCACCCGGTGATTTTATTCGAGTTTAAGCTCCAACTAGCGACAATAATTTGATTTCCTACTAATGAATGTTAATAGAAAAAATGACACAGAGAGCCCCTTTTAAAGACTTAATGATCAAAATGCTTCCCTTATGAAAAAGGACAAAATATGTCCATTTTGAGGATTATAAGACCAGGCTGCCCCCTCCTTTCTATGCCTAGGCTTCACCAAAGGTCCTTCTCCTTCTTTTTCTTTGTTTTTTTTTGTTTTGCACATTTTTTGTCTTTTTTATTTTTTCCCCGTATTTTGTTGTTATTTTTTTCACTTTATTTTTTATTCTTTCTAATAAAATTTTGCACTCTTAATCATTTTTTTTTTGTAGTTATTTTCTATTTTTATTTTTTTATTCTTTCTAGTAGTAATTCCTTACTCCTTTTTACTTTATTTTTTATCTTAATATTTTATTTGTTGGTGTTTTTTTATTTTTCTTAATTTTATTCTTTCACTAAAATCTCTCCGTCCAAAATATTTTGTCACTTTTTTTTTCTTTTTCATTATTAATTTTCATCTTAATGTTTTTAGCCAAAAATTATTATCACTTTCTTTCACTTTTGTTTTTATTTATTTATTTAAATAAATAATTGAGTCTTAAAATTTGTATTGGGATACTTTCTACACAATCAGTAATCGATTATGATTATCGAGAGTTACCATGTTATTCCTTTTGATTCTTTTAATTTTTTATTTAATATTTCTACTTATATTTTTTATAATTTACAGCTTTATAAGAAATTTTAGAATTTATTTTTTAAAGTAAAATATATTCGTTCAAAACATCTGTCACTTTTTCCCCTTATAATAATTATTTTTTATCTCAGTTTTTTCTATTATTTTTTCAGTAAAATTTATTCGTTAAAATTTTTATCACTTTATTCCACTTTTATTTTTTACTTTTGCTCTTTCTAGATAAATAACCTAGTCCTAAAATTAATTTTGTAAAAAGTACTTTCTATACAATCATTAATCGATTATAGTTAATGATAGTTACAATGTCAATCTTTTTGATTTTTTTTTATGTGTAGATGGTTTTTTTTTTTTTTGTGTGGCAATTTTAATAGAAATTAAGGCTTTTTTTAAAATAATAAATTTATCACTCTTTTTAACCTTTTTTTGTTCTTTCTAGTTAAATCGGTGAATCCTAAAATTTGATATACTATGCTAATTTGGTATACCAATATGTACTATACTAAGAATATTAAGAGTACCATGATTCAACCGTTCTCATGGTATATCGATATGTAGTATACCAAGAATATTGGGTATATCATTTAACGTACTCTAACAAAGTATACTATAAATTAACACTAATCATGGTATACCAATTTATGGTATACCAAGTATATTTGATATACTATTTAACATACTCAAATAAGGTATACCATGTACCAAGAATATTAAAAATATTATTTAACATACTCAAATAAATTATACCACGATTCAATAGTAATTATGTTATACTAAAAAGTAATATACCAAGAATACTGGGAATACCATGATTGTTGAATCATGGTATACTAATGCATAGTATACCAAGAATATTAGGAATACTATTTAATGTTCTCAGATAAAGTATATCATGATTCAACAATAATCATGGTATACTGCACATTACACTAAGAATATTTGAATACCAATTAACATACACAAATAAAGTATACCACAATTCAACAGTAGTTATGGTATACTATGTAGTATACTACAATTCAACAGTAATCATGGCATACTATGTAGTATACCGAGAATATTGAGAAGACCATTTAATATATCAATAATTACAGTATAACACGATTCAGTAGTAATCATGGTATACTAATTGGTATATATTATGTAATAGTACACTAGCATAACAATATACTGTACAAAAGTATACTATACACTATACTTATATTTGAACATCACAATTTTTTTTAAAATTACAATAATATTCTGATATACTACTACTAAATTTATAATAATATATTCTATATATCATTAGATATAACAATAATCATAGTATCTAGCACGCGTGTCAAAAGGTTTAAGAAATTTAGGCGTAGAATCACATCACACGTGTTGACTTTATTCTATTTGATAAATGACTAAAAATATACATTTTCTAGTATAGTTTCACATCATTTAGTATGTGATTTGTGGGAAATCACATGCTTATAAATGTGAAGTATACTCATTACGTGTTTATCATGTGTAGGAGTGAATTTGGATGGAAGTTGGCAAGAATTAGATGAGTTGATGCAATAAGATAGAGATGCAAAAGCGTGCCACAATTGGTGCAGTGCATGAAGGTAGGCGCGAAATGGCTTAGGAAATAAACGAAAAAAATAGCTAAGTATGGAGGTTGGCACTGGACCTGGCACGCGAAAGAACAAAGAAGAAGAAGAAATAACTGGGAGCGTGCTAGAAGTCGCGCGTTGTACCAACTCTAGCACGCAACTCAGCGTGTCCTTTTCGAATTAAGGGAGATCAAGGACGCCCCACATCAACCCTATTCGGTATAAATACAATTTCAAGCTGTTTTTGAAGGGTCACACAATACTTTGGGAGGCAAGAACACACAAGGAGCAAGGGGGAGAATTCTTCTACGAGTTTTTCACCTTCTTCTTCATATTTTTATTGTTGGTTGTGACTTTTTATATTTTAATATCATGAGTAGCTAAACTCATCATCTAGGGTTGATGGAACTAATTGTTCGATGAATTTTTTATTGCGTATTGATATAATTGAGCAGTTTTTACTCTCTAATTGTTTAACTATGTGCTTCTTGTAGTTAATTAAAGGGCCATTGATTAATCGTGTCTAGATATCTCATGTTGCTTGAGAGAGAACTCTTGATTAGATTATTGTTGAATAACGCCACTTTCGAGTAAGTTAAGTGATTAATTACTTGGATTTAAAAGCGGGATTAGAGATAACAAAGCTTTGGCGTGAACTTTATGAGTTGTACAAATTGCCAGCTAGAGTAATTCGAGAGAATACCTCTAGTAAATTATTGCAATTAATCAAGAGATAATTGTGATAAACAAGAACTCATCATCTTTAGAGAGTGGTGCGGCGAGATTATAGCTAACGTGCTAGGAATTAATCTGGTAATTGGGAAAATCATAAACCCTAGAACTTTTTATCCTTGATTCAACCTCATTCTTGCTAGTTGATAGTTTTATTGTCATTTTTTCTTAGTTAAGTAACTTTTGTTAATTCGCAAATCAAATCTTGAACTCTAAAAGTTGTCTGAGCTTATCATTAGTGATACTGAAAAGTTGTAGCAAATAGGTTTAGTTTCCTATGGGATTCGACTCCGGACTCTTAAAACGGATTATTTTTGCAGCGATCGCTTAGTCCTTTTTGTAAGGCATAGTTGGGTGTGATCAAATTTTGGCGCCGTTGCCGGGGAACTAACGGTGTTATTCACTACAACTTGAAAGAATTGCTAGGATTTTTAGTTTAGATCAATTTTCCGTGGTGCTAAAACTATTTCCATTGAAATTCTTACGTTTGAATTATTCTGTGCCTTAGGTGCATGCCTAAAAGCTCCTTGAGAACTGGTGAACTATTTGAAGGTCTCTCAGATCCCAAGAAAGCATTCAAGACATTGAATAGGGCTAACAAGAAGCTCAAACAGCTAAAACAGAACGAACAAATCGAAATTGAAATGTGTGACATCGAGAATGTCAACGGGAACAATAGAAATAATCAAGTTGACCCAAACATCAGAGTGGTAGCACCCCTGGTGCCGGAGGCTGCTCTATATGATTGGGCGCAACCAACCGCTAACAATCTAGCAACTACAATTGCAGTACCTCCGATACAAGCGAAAACTTTTCAAATTACAAACAACATGCTGCACTTGCTGTAAAACAAAGGGTTGTTCTCGGGGTATTACATCGAAGACCCATAACAACATCTGAAGAATTTTCTATCAATTTGTGTCACTCAAAGACAACCGAATGTGATACTCGAAGTAATCAGATTATTACTGTTTCCATTCTCAGTGACTGGGGAGGCTCAAACTTAGCTTAATTCGCTCCCAATAAACTCTATTTCTACTTGGGAGGAACTAGCCAAGCAGTTCTTAAACAAGTTCTATCCACCCAACAAGACTGCACGGCAAATTGATGAGATATTGCAGTTCAGACAGAAACCAACTGAAACTTTACAAGAAACCTGGGAGAGGTTTAAGGGTATGTTGGTGAAGTGTCCACACCATGGCATCCCGGATCAGGTGCTAGGACAGAGATTCTATATGGGTTTGGCTGACAGTCTGAAGGCTAATGTAGATGCTTCATCCGGGGGTGCATTCTTAAGCAAATCATTTACAGAGTGTAATATTCTTCTTGACAAGATGGCTCAAAATTCAGGTCGGATGATGAGGGATACAACACTCATTCCAATAGTGCATTTTGTTGCCCTTGACCCAAACAATAAAAATGCAGAAAATATAGCCACTCTCATGATCCAGATGAGCTTGTTGACAAAGAAAATTGATGAGATGGGCACAAAACATGTTCATATTGTTGACACAACAAATGGAGGCTTATACACTCCCTGCATCAATCAGCCGTATATTTGCTCGTGGAGTGGAGAAAATGATAACCAGGGCTTCAGAGAAGACATGAATTACATAAATAATTTTGGGGGTCAGAGGCAAGGTGGACAACAATGGGGACCTCAGG